AAAAAAAAAAAAAAAAGATGGACAAAATAACTTTTCACAACTTTCACAGTCTACCTTAGAAAAAACTCTGTAAAACATATAAACATAAAATCTTATATTTCTGGTATTCAAAATTTAATAACATGATTTCAAAAATCTTACTTGAGGTAAAACTTTCTATATTTAAAAATATAGAAAAGAGAAAAATATAATTACGCTTTCCAATACATAAAAGTCATGTAAAAACAATCATTACAACTTATTAAAAATTATTTAGCTCCCATATACTCAAGAGCAGAAAAAGTTATATAAATTCCTATCAAGAAACAGAGAACTGCTATAATATAACTTGCATTTTAAGTAATGTATTTAAAATAATGAAAATACTACCATGCAAATACTAGATATGCTTTTTTACTCACCTCTCCCCCATTAACATATTCCATCACAAAACACAAACGGTCTTTTGTCTGGAAGGAATATTTCAAGGACTTGAAATGAAAAAGGAAAAATGTTATATTATAATCTTACATTCTTACAATAATAATGGTACAAAAATAGAATACTTAGTAAGCATGACTGATTAAATGAATTGATTACTGATTATTATTAAATTAACTGATTGTTATTAAATTATCAGGGACACAGAGTCTGTTTATGCCTTAAGAATGCTTAAGAGTTTGTGAAAAAAATAAAACATTTTTTTCTAGTTCACAAGATATTTTTATTTAAAAAATTAAAATTTTAAGTAAAAGTAAACTTAGTAATTGCAATGAGCACATCTCAATCTATTGTGCCATCTATTTGAAACTGCATTAGTCCTCAAAGTTCTCATCCATGCGAATTCAAAGTGCAGTCTACAGATTACTCTAGTGGAAATTCCTTAGAAATACAGTTACAGTTGTTATAGTCAGGTTTTTAATATAATTTCGATATCACTTTTTTGCATATTGGATGCATGACATGATCCAACCCAACAGAGTTGGGCCATGTAATTTTTTGGGTTATAAAAAGATGCCAAAATGCTATCTTATTACACTAGGCAATAAACACACAAAAATGTAACAAAGTAAGTCTAGGTATCTAGTAACACCTCTGAAAACGTTTACTTCAGATAATCCTAACACTTTAAAGGGTTACTTTTGAAAAATCTCACTGTTATTTTTAATCTCAGTATACTTCATTGGAACCAGAAATATACTGAAACTTTACAAATTCTCCATTACAAGGAATCTAAGAATAGGAATAAAACAATCAGTTTTTAAAAATACTTAAATGCATATAAATCACAGTTTATAGTTTGTCTAGTGAGAAAGACATGTCTATGTTATCCATGTTAACCATGTCTATGTTATCTCTAATGTAGTCAGTATTCCTGAACTTCTATCCCTCAAAAAAAGTCTTATTTCTATAAAATATAGTCAATAAAGATATCTACCTTTCATATTTAAAGAAATGCTTTCTGATTATTTCCATCTTTATCAGAAGACAATAAATGAAAGAAACATAAAGTCTTTGTATTTAATATTAAGAAACTTTAAAAATCTACTATTTTTTCTCTTTAAAATGCCACATGTAATCTACTAGTTGTATAATATTGTGTTTTTAAATGGCAATAAGAAAAATAATAGGAAGGAAGGAAGGAAGGAAGGAAGGAAGGAAGGAAGGAAGGAAGGAAGGAAGGAAGGAAGGAAGGAAGGAGAAAGAAAAAATAATGTCTCAGAAAAGGAAGAGATGTCTATTGGGAGGGATTATAAATACATACATGCTGTAAAAATCCATACATGCCAATAATTTCAAACAAACTTGACTAACAATATTTCCACAAAGAAAAAGATATATCTAAATACATGTTATTTAAATATTATTTTTCACAGCTTAGTTTCTATAGCAAAATTCCTTAAGTTTAAAATGTTATGATTGTAACATCTGTCCTCTAGACACTTACAGTTAAAAAGGGATGCCTAGTGTTCTTTAATACTCTGCTTTCGGTTAGTGTGTGTGCCACTTCATCCTACAAAAGAAAAAAGCAAATCTTTAATATATGTTCAGAGCACTGATAATACAGCAACTTCACTAGTTCTTTAAAATCAGAAGAGGATAAATCCAAAGACAGAAAAGGATTTAAAAACAAAGTGGCATGCTTCCTCTATTGCTCAGCTTCCCCTTCGCCAAAAAAAGGAAGAAAGAAAATCAAACTAATTATTTAATTCAGATGGCTATAAAACATAAACTCATATAAATTCATTCATACTTAATCAAAGTATGTCAATAATTATACAAAGATCAACACAAAAATTAAATACTAAGCTTTTTCTCTCTAAGGGAATTCCTTATCAGCTAATATTTCAGTATGAGGTAATTAATATTGCCATGCTTGCAATACATTTTATTCAGCAGGATAAAAAGAATATATTTAACAATAAAGATCATAGAATACGTAAGTCTCCTACTTAAAAAAAATCAGTTATTAAAAAGAGGACTACAGAATACACGTGTAATGTTCAGTTTTAAATTATACATTTTAGAAATAGAAAGAAACATGGTATAAAAAAATATCTCGCTGCTTGAGGCTCTTAAATGGGCTTTTAAAAAAATCACTTTTTTTCTTTTTTAAGATACAGTGTCTCACTATGTTATCCAGGCTGGCCTCAAACTCCAGGGCTTAAGTGATCTTCCTACCACCTTGACCTCCCAAGTAGGTGAGACTACAGTTTTAATGTGTTTCTTTAATAAAAGGTCACAATTCTCCTATTATAGGTGACAATTTTTCAATTCGAGTACATTTCAAACCAAAAATAAACTAAGAATATGTTTCCCAAATTTTGGACATAAATCTCATTTGACATCAAAAGTAATGTGGAAGAGATTTTCTTCAACATATGGAAAACTGGAAAAAAGTTTTCATATTTCTCAAGTAACACCATCTTAAAGAAGAAAGGAAAGGAAGATGACTGTAGAAGCTAACATCATCATCTAGTATCTCTGTTCTTCGCTTCTGGCAAGACCTTAAATAAAGGCCTTGCTGGATCAGTTTCTTAACTACTGTCAGCAAATCAAAATTAGATTATAAGTAAGACATGAAGGCAACATATCAGGGGACAAATTACATTGTCTTTATAAAAGCAGATGACCTCAGGTAAACCTAAAAGATAAATGAGAAATAGACTGATCAAAGAAGCTAAGATCCTAAAACTATTCCAAAAAGGTCAGATCAGTTACGACTCAACAGATAGTGAAGTATAATTAACAACAAAGTGTTTAAAATCAGTGAAGAAAAGCATAAGAATAAAGCCACCCCAGTCTGACTGGTTGATAGGAGACATTTAAGGGCTAAAACAATTTGAAAGCCACTGTCATACTATAATTCCTAAATTAGAATAATAGCAAATATTTTAATACAAAATGAGTCAGAAGCAGAAACGACACCAGAACTCATTGATTTCTTACTCACAGTACCCAGTGTAATGGTTAGCATGTGGTAGATACTTAATGAATGTCTGTTGAACTGAACTTTTTATCACAGGAATAAATTCCAAGATATCAAGTGTGTGGGAATTCATTCATTCAATCACCCATTCATCTACTCATTCCTTTAACACATATGCAAAAAATACTTTCTGGGTATTGTTCTACATATCACAGACAGGAAACTGAACAAATAAGATAAAAGTCTCTGCTCTCATGGAGCTTTAATTCTAGTTAGTCAGATGGTGATCAGTGTCAATAGAAAAAAAAAGAAAAGAAGGGAATCACTTAATAAGCATCATAAAGTGAATATGACATACATTACTAAGCAGTATGCAAGTAACTATTTTGTGATACAGAACTAAATCCACTCATTAAAAAAAAAAATTGTCAATGTGCACTTACTAAATGCTAAGACCAGTGCTGGTATAAACTGGTTTAATAAAAAAGATCCCATGGCTCATGGAATTTACAGGCTAGTAGAGAAGATAAACAAGTAAATATCCAACTTAAATAATTACTAATTTTGATAAGTGATAACTAAGGGAAAAAACGAAGGTCCACTATTGCAAATGGAGTGGTAAAGAAACCTAATGCTAATGAAAAGAGTGTAAGATGGGCACTGTGATGGTGTGAGAAATGGAGGAAGTGAAGAGGGTGGCACAATTTAATTTGGTTCAGACAAGGCTACTACTCAATGTTCTTTTGAGAAGGACAGCAAAAATACGAGGGATCAATTAGGAGATTATACTACTCCAAGGGAAAAAATGAGGATGGCGTGGACTACCATCGTGGCGCAGGGACAGGAAAACAGGGGACAGTTTTGAGATATAAAATTAACAGTAATATTATAAAAGTCACATGTCTCCAATATAAGGACGAGTTTTTAAAAATGTATTATAGGCAGTCAGAAAAAAATTCCTAGAAGAGATAATATTTACCCATTATGGATGGAATGTTAACTGATCTGGAGCCAGGCATGGTGGCTCACACCTGTAATTCCAGCTCTTTGGGAGGCGGAGGCAAAAGGATTGTCTGAGCCTAGGGCTTTGAGACCAACCTGGGCAACTTGACGAAACCTCATCTCTATAATAAATAAAAAATTAGTTGGGTGTGGTGGCATGCACCTGTAGTCCCAGCTACTTGGAAGGCTATGAGCGTGCCACTGCACTCCAGCCTAGGCAACAGAGACTCTGACTTTAAAAAAAAAAGTTAACTAATTTGGGTAAATTAGGAAAAGACTAAACAAAGTACAAAACTCATTTGGAGCCAGAAAATACATTTTAATGCTTTGAAAAAATATTTCTGTGGGTAATTTTATTCTTTTTGGTAAATAGGACTATCGCATATAATACTTATTTTTTAAAATCACTGAGTAAGTTTCATGAGAGAATACTGTTTTCCTCTAAATACTGTAATCTGTCTGACCACATCGATGGAGGATGCATGGAGACAAAAGCTAAAAACAATTATTTCTTTGTTATAAGAATGGGACTGGAACTAATACCATGTACTTGTCTTTTATATACAAAAATGTATTTTCTACATATGTTACATCTCATCAGATTAGAATTTTTCCCATTAATGTATATTTAATGATTCTGTATTCCACATACTAATTAATTTCTGCTACGAAGATAAGGTACACACAAGTTAAAAAGTAAACACAGATGCCAACAATTTTGAATTACAATAAAAAGCAACATGTCAAAACAAAAAGTTGAAAATAACAGTGGTAAAAACTTAGTGACTAAAGCAATGTGATGCTTTAAAAAATCCATTTGCTAATCATAATTATGAGTTTTAGAAATGCTTGAGCATACAAGTATAATATTTTTTTCATGAAATATCTTTTAAAATAGATTCTTATATTCAACCATAGTAAAAACTAAATAATGAATTTTAAAATCAAATTTATTTCATAGAAAGAAGTTTTAGGGAAAATGAGATTTTCTTTCTTGAGGACATGAGGCAGAAGAATATTTCACATATTTATTATCCCAATCTTTCTCAATTTATCTCTCACCCTTTACTATATATTGTCTAAAATTTTCCTTTCATTTGCCCCATTCACTGTTTTGTAGTTAGGTTGAGGAGAACGAGAAGTAGGAGAAAGAAAACATCTCTTACTCCATCATCACGGACACCAAGAATGTCATCCTGTTTTATCCCTGTACCACTTTCACATGTTAGGTTTATCAATCCCATTATATTGGGTTGATGCATAAGTTCATAGCGTTTTTGCTTGCCCATGGAATGCAAATGTCACACGATGATTGATCACAGTTCGTCACATTTGCCAATTCTCGAGCTGACTAACATAGATCATCATGGATTAAAGCGTTTAAGTTATCTTCATCAAAGCCTGATGGTTTTCCTGAACGCAGAGAATCTCTCAGGTCAAAGTAACCCTCTTTAAAACAACAAAACTATTTTCTTTGTTGTGCTTTCCCCATAGCATTCTCCCAATACACATCACAAATGTTTCAAGTCGCCTCTGCTGAGTTTACTCCTCTGTTGAACTCAAACAGAAGTGTTCTTTTATTTTTCCACTTCACACTCCATCTTCTTTAGCCCACAAATAGCACTTTCTTCCAACCTGCAAAATGCAAGGTGCATTCACAAGCACAACAATGTCACTCCAAATGACAAATGGCAAATGATAAACTCCCAACTCCACAGTGTTGCTATGCCAAAAACGAACACTACAAACCTATGCATCAACCTAATACACAAGGAAACTGAGGTTCACAAAAATTAACTTGCTCAAGCTGCAGGTCAATATTGACCCCACAACCTGAGTCCAACATTAAAGGTTTGTTCACATTATTTTATCCATCTTGACTACAAATCTAAAGTGACTGTATCAGATGCTAGTCGAAATCAAGACATTCTCTGTCTAAAACATTTCCTTCATCCATCCAAAGCTATAAACGAGACCTTTATGCTGGACACATTCAAATTCTTCTCTTCTAGCTATCTTGTAATACACAACGGATTCCTCTTAACTATAGTCACCCTACTAAACTGCCAAACACTAGATCTGATTCCTTATTCCTTCTAACTGTATTTTTGTGCCCATTAACCAATTTCTTCATTTGTTCATGTTCCCCTACTCTTTCCCAGCCTCTGGTAACCACCAATCTACTCTCTATCTTCATGAGATCTACTTTTTTGGCTCCCACTTATGAGAACATGAAATATTTGTCTTTTTGTGCTTGGGGTATTTCACTTAACATAATGATGCCAAGTTCCATCCATGCTGCCGCAAATGATATGATTTCATTCTTTTTAATGGCTAAATAATATTCCACTGTGTGTGTGTTCCAAATTTTTTTAATCCATTCATCCACTGCTGGGCATTTAGGTTGATTCCATATTTTTGTTACTGTGAATAGTGCTGCAATGAGCATGGACGTGCAGATGTCTCTTTAATATACGAATTTCCTTTCTTTTGGATCTATACCCAGCAGTGAGATTGCTGGATCATATGGTAGTTCTATTCTCAGTTTTTTGAGGAACCTCCATATGGTTTTCCATAATGGC